AGCCCCTGCAGCCCACAGAAAATGACAGCTCCAGTCCGGCCACGCAAGGCCAATCCACCCCTACCAGACATGCAGGAGCTGTTGATGACACATAGTCCAGTCTCCAGAAGTTAATGACATGTAACCAGTTTTCTAGAACTGACCACCACCATGTCTATAGACCCCAATCAAAGTTTGAGATCTTGGGATCTCCTGCACATGGCTCCTTTTTGAACCTCCCCACCCTCTAGTCTGGACAGTGCACTGTGCTTTGCTTTTGTTTTGGTTTGAATTAATAAACCTGCCCCTGTTTAAGCCTCCTGTCTGTCCATCCTTGAATTCTTTCTCTGGTGAGACTAGAACGTTACATTCCCCAAGATCCAGTGACCTGAATCTGGTGACATGTTTTGGCAAGCCAAGCTAGAAGATGCCTACTCAGGGGCAAGTGACTTTATTTTTCTCTGGTTCTGGTAAGCCTGCCTGACTACTTATCCACAGGGGGAAGACTGCTTTTTCAGTCTTACTCTCTCATTTTGGACTACTTTCTTGCAAAACTTGCACACAGTGGGGATTACTCCTCCCTTCTCCTGTGGCTAGAAAGACCAAATAGTTACCCATCAATTTGCCTTTGTATCCTGAACTGTAGCCACAGGGTAAATCTAACGTGAAAATTTTGAGGGCCCCAATGTTAGAGCGAGCGCCTGCTTACCAAGTGTGAAGCCTGAAGTTCAAAACCCAATACCTCATTAAAAGAGAAAAAATCAAACCAAAACAAAACAAAAAAACCATTTTGGTTCTTTGTGTATTTTCTCTCCTTTCTGCATTCTTCTGGTTTATCCTAAGATAGTTTTGCTGTTCAAGGTCGTTTGAAAGTTTTGTTATATAAGTCAGCACTAGCTAAAACGCAATATTCTATAACTCTTAGACTCATGTAAGCTCCCCAGAAAATGATGTTTAAAAGAATGGTGGAGTGGCTCAAGTGGTAGAGCACCTACGTAGCAAGTGTGAGGCCATGAGTTCAGACTTAGTATCACCAGAAAAAAAAAAAGCTTAAGAGGGCCTTTTAAAAAAATCCAAGCAGCAATAAAGTCCACATAATATCTACAGCTATGTATGAACAGGTGATCTTTATTTGTTTCATTTTATAAACATAGTTAGGCTATAAATGTAGTTATATGTAGTTGTTATAAATGTAGTTTAGGTTTAAAAATAAGGTAAAAAAGGGAGATAAAAAATGTTAAAAGGTTATAAAGAAGGAGAACATTTTTAAATAAAAACAGGCAGATAAGGGCAAAACCAGAAGGCTAAAAATATGTGAAAAAAGAATTGTGTTAGGGTTTATGCTGGGATACAATTGGTAAAATATGGTAGGACGTGAGGGGACATAAAAACATTACAAGTAAGTGAACATTTTCTAGACAAAAAGGTTTTTTTTTTTACATAGTAAAAAACTGTTACAAAACAAAAATAAACAGATAAAGACAAAACTAAGAGGGTAAAAACATGTCGCAAAAGGATTGTGGTAGTGTTTATAATGAGTTATGGTTGATAAACCAAATGCTGTCTTGATAAATTTATAAAAGTTCTCTAAAAACTTCCCTTAAACTCCAGTGAAAGGTTGGACACAAAAGGTGCATGGACTATCTCTTCCCTGAGACCACCCACTCTACTCGATGAGAATATATTTGTACTTAATAAATTTTGCTATTACTTTTGCTACATTTTACATCTTGCTTAAAATCTTCTCTCATGGGAACACAAGAACCCAGGACCCCAACTGAAACTTCAATTACAATTTTAGATGTTGTACCCAAAGACCCAGAAACATCTGGAACATCTGGAATACCCCATCCATCCAAACACTGGCTGCCCCAGCAAGGGACCACTGAATTTAGTTTAAGGCTCCATATAGGCACAGCAGGGAGATTCACAGGTGACAGGACCCAGGTCTAACAGAAGAATTTGGTAGTGGGGATTGAGGGGGGAAGGGTAGAGGTGATGATAGAACAAACCAGTTGCAGCCCACTATTTCTGTAAATAATATACCCCAAAACATTTACTAAATGTCCAGAAATTATATAATAGACTTAGATGTTAAAGCTAAAAATATTATAAAATCTTAACTATCTCTTCACTTTTTGACAGCTCTATTGAAATATAATTTATATATCATACAATCCACTTAAAGTGTACAATTTAAATTTTGATATATTTCCAGAATTATGTACCCACATTGTACTCTTTAATGGCATTATTTCCAGCACTGTGGACATATTCTTTAATTTTTGTTCCCAGTTAGAGAGCTGATCAAGTGACATAAGTAAGAAAGCATCCAGTTGGCTGGTTGGTTTGCAGTGTTGCCATAGGAAAGTGTTTTCATGCTCATTCTTTATTGTTCAAAGTTCCCATTTCAGCACATGGAAGGAAGTTTCAGGCTATTGCAGGAGAGGGCACAACACCGGGCCACGTGAGAAAAGGCTGGCTGGACGTGTCACAACATAGTGGCAGAGAAAGCATTATGAGGGCCCAGGGTGCTTGAATCAAGCTGTCGGTCTGTAGAAGGGTCATATGGAAAAGGAGGTTGTTGTGGTAGAACTTGGAGCATGAGAAGGATGTAGGGAGACCCAAAGAAAGAAGAGATTAGAAAAGTGGACTGAGGCCATATTGTGGAAAACTTTGAATCCCAGACTGTGGAGTAAGTTTTAACTTTTATTCTACAGACCAAGGAGAATGAAAGGATCCTGACTAGGGCAGTGAACATCAGGGCTATGCTTGTGGGGGATAGCTCTGAGGGAATGAAAGACCTTTCAAAAATCTGTGGCCAAAGTTCAGGTCAAAGTAATGGGAGCCTTAAATAACTAGGGGACAGCAAGCAAGAAAAAAAAAAAATACAGGTAAATTTGAAAGAAAATGCGAAACTAGAATCTATGTAAGCATAGATTGCTTGGGTGTGGGAGATTAGGAAGAGAGAGGAATCAAGTCACACCCAAGATTCTGGGATAAAGATGGTGTCAACGGGAGGTCATCAAGTCTGTATGGCTTGGTGTTTGATTTTTTTTTTAACAAAAATGTTAAAAATAAACTTTTTTTAGAAAACATTTTGTGTTATAGGGGCCAATGGAATATCCAGGCAGTAATGTGATCTGGAATTTGGGGGAGAAGATAGGGGAATAGTGGAGATTTGGTGAGGTTAACAAACAAAGTTTAAGATTATTAATTTGGAGTCAAATAGGCATGAATTCAAATCCTAACATGGCCCTATTTCAGCTGTGTTGTGAGTTTGGAAATTTTTTTTTTTCAATCGTAGTCTGGTGACATTTATTTTAAGGGTAATACCTCTATGTGCATGAATAGCTCTTCATGGTTAAAACACATTCCAGTTTATCTTTCTCAGTCTCTTCTTACTCATCTTCTTCCTTTGGTAAACTCTAACCATTGCTGTTAGAGCAAAACTTTCCAAATATCTTAACACCTCAGGGACAGTTCCATTAAAAAAAATTTATTTGATCATTTTTCCATTTATTTACATGTGTATACATTATTCGGGCCAACTTCGTCTTTAACCCCACCCCCACCCTCCACCCCCCACCCCCGCCTCTGGGCAGAACCTGTTCCACCCTCTTGTTCTCTGATTTTGTTGAAGAAAAAACATAAAATATAATAAGAAAAACATGGCAATTTTGCTAGTTTCAGATAAGGATAGCTACACAGGGAGATTCCTTGTGTTGCTTCCATGCACATGTGTATTGCAACCCACATTGGTTCATCTCTACCAGACCTCTTCACTACTTCTTAGTCCCCTTCCCATAGTGCCCTCGGCCAGTTTAAGATTGCTATATTCACTCCTCTACAGTGAGCACATCAACCACATTCAAATTTTTGGTTTTCTTCCTTGCCCTATCCCTTCCATGTGAGGTCTCCCCTTATTGTGTAAACCATGTCCAATAACATTACTTTGGCAAATTCTTTAATTCTGAGGAAATGAAGGCATATAGTACCTAGGAGCTGTTAAGATGAAGTGAGTTAATTTAGAACAATGTTGTAAATTCTCAATCAATGGCATATCTTATTTGGGGTCAACTGTTGGAACCATGGAGTAGATGATGATATTATTGGGAAAGCAAGAAGAGATGGGGAGAGGGAGGCTGTTGAGGACTCAGAGAAAAAAAGGTTGGAGGCTCTTGACTGGCTTCAGACCAGCCTTAAGACCTAAGATTCCAAAGTGACCTTTTTTCCCCAGGGCTCTCAGTGGGCCTGGGGATGTCTTGTGGCAAATCTAAGGCTCAGGTGGGGAATAGGAGAAAGAAGAGAGGATGGCAAAGAGGGAAAGTGAGCAACAGAATGACCCAGAGCAGGGGCAGAGAGTTCAGGCCCTTTTAGGGACAGAAAGTTAAGTTGCTCAGGTGGAACACATACAGAGTAGAGCCCAAATTGTGGAAATTCATTCCAGCAACCAAAAAGCAATTTTCAAAAGAACAATTTACTTGTTTTTCTTGTTTTCTACAAGGGAACTTTATAGATCACAGCCATACTTTCTAAAATTGCCTTTCTCTACTCTCTACTCTCTTTTCTCCCTCCTGTAAAATACACCCATGGTTGCCTGTCTCTTTTTCCACACCTACCCTCCTTCTTCCCTTCACCCAAAACAAACAAACAAGCAAAACAACTACAGAATTTCCCGTTAACCCAGTCAGCTCGCCTTTTGTCCCTTTTCACTTTCCTTGCAATCAGGAATCACAGATGCCTCAAAGGATGGTCAAGAAACAAACCCAGAATCCTCTTTAGGAGGCTAGAGGAGAGGAAAGGCTACGAAAGTTTATAGGATAACTATTTCTGTCCTGACACAAGGATTTCTTTTGACCTGCAAACCACAGTTAAAAAGAAAAACAGAGGAAAAAAAGTGTACCAGTGGCAAGTTCGACTTGGAAGTGACCCCAGGGCCTCAAGTGCATAGCCTGTTTCCTCCTCCCCCTTTTAGGGCTACCTCTCTCTTAAGCCTAGAAGGGGAGTCCCATCCTTACCTGTCTATGCTGATGGCACAGAGGTTCAGGATGCTGGCTGTACACATCATGACATCCAGGGTGACAAAAACGTCACAGCAAATGCGGCTGAAATTCCAGACTCCACCTGTCACCTGGGCATCAAAGACAAGAAGAATGTTAGTGTTTTTCCCAGCAAAGGAATAACAACCCAGTCCATTCTCCTGTTTTCCTTATGCATAGATGCTGACCTGCCCTGGTGGCTCCCTGTGGTTGGCACCATGATTGTTACCATAGGGAAGACAGGAGCCAAGGGAGTGCCAGGCTGTCCAAAACTGATTGCTAAAGAAAGGGCAGAATGTTACGATGTTAGTGCTGGAAGGAATCTTCCAAATCAGTAAGTGCAGTGTTTCTCAGAGTGGTCTGCAGTTGGGGTACTTATTAAAGATGTAGATTTGTGAATCTTCCATAGACCTAGTGAATCCGAGTCTCTGGATCTGAGGCCTATGGGTCTTCATTTTCAAGTAAACACTGTAGACATGCCAAGGTTTGAGAATTACTGATCTAGCTCAGATTGCGGAACACTCCTTCTGGTTAAGTGATGTGTCCAGAGATGCGTATCTGCCCTTAGATGCACAGCTGGTAGTAAAAGAGCTTGGGTGACTGCCCAATGTGCATTGTCCCAAAACTGCCTCTCTGAAGCATAGTAGAGGGTTCACCGTGTACCCAGGGAACATGTTTGCCATAAAATATAACTCCAAAGCAAAAATCTCTCTGGCTTTAGGTTTTAATGCTTGGAAACCTCCTGAAACAATATCTGTAAGAACCTACATAAAATAAATGTACACCAGTGTGACTGCCTTCCACTCCAGCCTCCACATCTAATCGCCCAGCAGTGGGAAAAGCCTGGGTCCCGGGGATAGAAAAGGGCCCTCAGAATGGATGAGGCTGATTCTGACCTCAGGCCTCTGCACATGAGTCCAAGTTCCATGGCCTCCCCTAAGCAACTCGTAGAAAACGTCAGAAGTTAGGTAACTCAATTTATATTCTAGCACATTTGTATTTTATTTTTGAGACTTTTACATAACTTAATTAAAGCAAGAAGATGTGTCAGGGAGATTGTCACTTTTTCAATGTCCACAAGCTGCCACTCCTGGGCCCCGAGGCTTTGGGCATTTGCCAGTCTCCTGCCTGTGAGGCTACCACTCTTGGGGACCATGGTTCTCAAAGAGAAGCTTGCAAAGATCTATGCCCCTGGCCACAGCTGGGTGGCTATGGTGTCCCCCTGAACAACCCCTACAGCTATTTAAGAAGGGAGGAAGGAAAGTGAAAGATATCCTACCTTGAGGTAGTTTCTCAAGAAAAAGACAGATATTGACCAAATATGCATAAAAACAATGCTGTTCCACTGTCCAGTGTTTCTCACCCAAGACACTTCCGATGTGACCAGGTCTCTACTTTTTATTCCTGCTTTATTTCTGTTTTATACCAAAAAAAAGCAAGGACCTGAAAGGCTATCTATTCTCCTTCTCTAACAACTTTGTCCCCTTGAGTTTATTTCCCTTTCAGCTTCCCATTCATCTCTGTATTTGGTCATCTTCAGCCTCTATTTTGAGAAGCACTGACCAAAGATTATTTTTTGTTTAAAAGCAACAATGAACAGTTAAAACAAGTAAAAAGTCATCATTTTTGATCCCTTGGTTGTAAATTTACTTTCTGTTATTTTGACCATTTGACTCTGTATAAATATAGGCCTAAGTGGAATTTATAGGAATTCTGAGAAAGAAAGACTTTTAAAAGGGAGCTGTGAGGACTTTGATCTATAGAGTGATAATCACACAATGATTTAAGAGAGGCAGGAGAATGAAAGACAGTTTTGCTCATTACACAGGACAGTTGTATGCTATAAAAGCTTCTCTCAAAAGCTGAATTTGGTATACTAAATTTCATTTCAACATATGTCTACTGTGTGACTTATGCCTTAAATTGAGAAAAAACTACTTTGTGTGTGCGTGTGTGTGTAACTGTGAGTGTTTGTGTATGTGAGTTGAGGTAGTGTCGGTTGAGAGAGGCTAGTTAGGACAATAGTCAACCCCAGTGCTTGCAGGGTACTCATGCATTCATAAAACAAGTACTCGTGAAGTGCTAATATTTAGTTTGTATATTATGTGTGTAAGAGGTTTTAGAAGTATATCACTGGGTCTAATCTTGAAGAACTTCCAAGATCACTAGAGAAGCAAGGCATTCTGAACACACTAACTACAGACCAGCATGAGAGTCTAATACTGCTAACACAAGCATTTATTGAAAATTTAGCCTCCACGGGTTACCCACCTACATAGCTCATTTGAGATTTTCTCTAACTTTGAAACTTCAGATTTTGAAAACTGAATTTGTGTGTTACTGGATGTGCTCTTAAAGCGTTGTGAGGAGTGTCAAATTTGCTAGATTAAGTGACTGTTACTTAACCAATTCAGTAACAGCAGAGACATTTACTTGTTCACTGCTGCTTGCTGGGCTCCTAGGGCGTGGGCCAGGTATGGAAATATATTCTGCAAGATTGAATGCTCTCTGGCATGCTCTGTATTCATACTAAATGCTACCATTTATTGAATGCTTACTAAGTGCCTGATATCCTGCTAAGCACTTTACATACATGGCTTCCATTGTTGGTTGTAATTCCATGGGAGAGGACTGCAGAGCTGGAGGTCTCTGAAGAAGCCGCATCTATCCTAAAGATTCCACAGACTGACTTTGGCAGAGTAGAATATCCTGATTGTGGAGAGAAGGAATGCTGTGGGTCGAGAGCCAAAATTATCTTGGGCTGTCTGAGGGTCCAATTTACTTTTTAACCTTCCTATCTGATCCAACATTCTCGTGACTGTTAGGTAAACCTCTTGGAATTCATAGCTAAGCTTTGCATCCCTCTAGCCTCCATCAACCCCAAAGCTTAGAATGCTGTAAAATAACATCTGATACCTATAGGAAAGATCTCCTACATAGCTGTAGTCCACCTACCTATCTTCCCCACCAATGAATTTGATGGAGATATTGATTTATGACTTTTTATGTTCCGTGGCTATAAAAGTTTATGTCACCTCTTTCATAGCAGAACACATCATTTAGGGTAACTTGAAACATTCATATTTGGCTCAGAATAAACTATTTTCATGTTTCTTTTAAAGCAGAGTGGTTATTTTTGCATTCACAGGACTGTTATTACTTTCAGCACAGAGAAAGAAAGCTTAGTGAAGTTAAGCACATTGCCACAGCTAGTAAGGCAGACAGGACATTGGGACATAGATTGTTAATGTCTGCTAACGGGAAGTGTCACCCAGGGAGGGGCAACTGTTGGAGAAGGGATGGAAGTGGGGAGACACAGGAGAAAGCAGAAAATAATGTTCTCGTCAGGGAGTTTTGTGTAACAGATGTATCTCTCCTTTCTGGGGAATGAGGCACTTTCCTGATTGTCCCATCCCAGGGCTGCAAAAAACAACAACAAAAACAGTGTAAAAGACAATGATGACTGCTGCCTTTGGGGCCTACGTGCAAAAAAACACACAGCAGTTTTCGGTGGTACCCCTCTTGAGAGAACAGTACTCAAGCTGTTCTCTGGCTTCCAGGCCACCTCTGCAATGCTACTATAGTCTAGCTACTCCATTTCCTTGTTGCCAGGATCTGCCATCAAAATTCCCCTTCTTTCCTTGATCTCAGCTAAGTGTCAAGAAGAAAACAACCTGATTAGATGATTAAAGTAATTCCCACTAAGATGCCATCACTTAGCCTTCCCTGGAGCTTACTCATTAAAATGAGTCTGTAATTGGTGAGACTTGTAATGAAAATATGTGTATATGTATATATAAATATATATATGTATATGTGCCGCCATCCTCCACATCATGTAAATAATAGTGTAATAGGAAGGGATCAGTGAAGAGCAGCAAAGTGCCAAGAACATGCCAAAAAACGGCACACATTATTTCATAGCAACCCAGTGAAATAAATGTGATGCCCAGCTTACAGATACATGGGGATCTTTGTAGGGGGGATTTGCTTGAGAACTCCTAGCTAGTAAAAGGAACTGGAATGTCAACCCCTTAGTATCAACCATGACTATTCTGCCTTGCAAAGGTTTATATCTTGGCACACCACTGCTGAGAAGTGTACAATACTCCTCTACTATCATCACAGGGAAGAAATTTGACATCTTTCTATCCATTTGCTGATGGATAGAAAGTATTATTGAGTGCCCACTACATGCCTGATACTGGCTTGGATGGGTGTGTTGAAATGAATTAAATCTGACTTTGTTCCCAGGGCCTCAGAATATAGTGCATGGGTGTTGGGTGTTGGGGGGCCAGGGAGAGTACTTTATGAACGGGTGTGGGGGAATTGAGGGCCCAAAAGATAGATGCTAAGAAAATATGGACGGGGTGGGGGGGGTGTGGCTCAATGATAAAGTGCCTGCCATGCAAGCATGAGGTCCTTAGTTCAACCTCCAGTACAGCGCAAAAGAAAAAGGAAAAGAAAAATAACTACGATATAATGTAATAAGTGCTGACAGTGAGGTAAATATAAAGTATCGTGAGAACATGAAAGGTAAGGTGATTTTTGAAATTAAACAGAAAAAAGTAAAAAAAAAAAAAGGATTTAAGGCCCTTTAGAGACATGATTCTTTCACCTAAATTCTAATGAATAACTCACTTCAGAATTACAGGCAGCCAGGTGGTGTTACTCTCACTTGCTAATGAATATAACTAACTCCCTTTGGCAATACAGAAGGTGGGAGTAAGCAGCAAAGTGTCTTCAGGTACTGAAGTTGCTATTGATTTTCAACAGACACAGCCTAAGGCTGCATTTCCCAAATCACCCCAGGCCTTTGCTAAACAAATGACTTGCAGGCTCCATTCCAAATAAGAAGTCTCTCAAGTGATTCTTACTGCCTGGGAGGTTTGGGAAACATTGGTCTTGGGGGGAGGGAGGGGCATAACATTATCTTCAAAAATGTCCCTAAAACAGGGCTACTTAAACTTTTTTTTTTTGAAACAGAGTCTATGTAGCTCAGGCTGGTATTGAACTCTCCATCCCCCTGTCTCAGCCTCCCAGTGCTGGGATTACTGGTACACCACAATACCTGACTATGTTTCTCTTTCTC